GTTCCTAAAGACAAAAACCTTCCTTCAGCCTACTTCCCGATTAAGTTTTTCAAATTCGCTTTTAATCTAAAATGCATACAAATCACGTTGACTCAGCTAGCCTGGAAATCTATTAAGAGATGATTACGCATACATGTATAATCTTGGGGGGGAACCCTTCTGTCAGGCTGCCCCCTTTCACTCAGGCAGAGCCCCAACCTATGCCAAATACATTACACTAATACATGACACTAATCATTTCATCCCTCATCAAATGTTTAAATGCTCCCAGAATTCTAACTTAGATTCAGAGGCCTCTTGTTTCCTCCACCATTAAAAAAGTGTTTCACATACACCATTGAATTCACCCTTGTGTTTAAACCTCTGGGTTGCATAATTCTAAATCTATGTGAGTAAAGGGCCATTAGTCCTCTCTACCTCCTACCCTTACACCCCTCATATTAAAAAGCATTGCTTTTATTCCTGAAAGAGATTAAATCTTCCATTTCCAGGTATTTCTCATAGTCATTTGTGGCCAGTCTGTTTTTTGTTTTGTTTTGATTTTTTTTTTTTCAGCTTTCTCCATCATTATTCTCCTACATACTCTTAACTAGAGATAAACTGCTTAACTCATTGTTTGGCAATGAGACTCACACTGAGTGAGTCCCACTCACTCACATCTGTACACCAAAACATTGATTTCCTCCTCTCTACCCATAAAGCGCTCCCCCTCGTTAAGGACCAGGCTGGAGCCCATATTCCTCTTGAAGTCTTCTCTGTTCACAACTGAAAATATGTCCTCTCTCCTCTGAACTCCTTCCGTGTTTCTAGCTGAGCCATGAGGCTACATGCCTCTTGACAGCTCTTTCTTATCTTCTTGATCTGCTTTATTATTTGACATTGTGTGTGCCTACTTTGTCTCTCAGCCCTCAAGGTTCTGGTGGGCACAGATCATTTTTCTCCCACCCCCTGCCATCCCTGGCATAGCCCCAGACAGAGGAAGTACTTCATATGTCCCTGTTTCTCTTCCCTTCCCAAATATTATCCCACTGTTACCCTAACTGACCTTCACTTTATTTCTGACTCTTTTCAGAGTGTCGATTTTTAAAAAACTTTTTGAATTTACTCTGCAATCACTGCAAAGCATCCTTCCTTAAGATTTGGTTTCTGATGTGACTTAATAAGCATAATAATGGTTCTTTCTTCTAGCCATTAATAAAACTGTCCAACAATATCATAAATTGGCTATCCACTGTGGGCAGGGAACTGAACCAGTGCTAATATAAAAGATTATAGAAGATATGGACGATGTGGTACAAAAGGGACAGGAGTTCAGAGTTGATTATATATCATATATATATAAACTATATATGTTAATTACATATGTACATACCAAATCACCTAACATCAGAAGAATGTAAATAGTGCAAATATATATATAATGAAAAAGCATTAGGAGTTTACAGAAGAACCAATATAATGAATTTTGCTTAGTAGGGGAAAAATGTTTTGGAACAGGTGATGTGGACCCATGTTTTGAAGAAACAGAGAGGCCATCAGGCCCATAAGAACAAAACCCATGCCTATGTTTGCTCCCCATCTTCCCCCACCTCTTGCCACCGTAGTACCTGGTCCACTGTAGATGTGCAGCTGCTACTAAATAAATGAATATCCAAGTACTGAAAGCAGGAGAGACTAGGTTATGTAAAAGGGCAAGCATGTTATGCCAGGGAAGCAGCAATTTATTTTCCTGGGTGGAGCCAAGAAATAACATGCAAAATGATGGAAAGGAAAGAGAGAAGGAAATGATGAATGGCCTTGAAGTCTTGCCAGGAATTTGGTTTTAACAGATAGTAACAAACACTTTATTATCCATTCATTCATTTATTCCACAAATATGTAGTAAGCATCTACCATGTGCCAAAGCACTTTGCTGAGACCCGAGGGTTCTGTAGTGAACAAAACACAGTCTCTGTCTTCGAGGATTGGGCAGCCTTTTCAACATGAGCTAGTAAGTGGTGGCACATACTTATGGCTCTGGTTATTGTTATCCTAACAGTATTTAGCAAAAGGGAGCAATCTGTCTAGCCTCCATCATAGACAGCTCCGGCAGAGAGCAGAAGCCTTCGTTAAAATGAGCTCCAATGTGAAGTATGTCAAAATAACAGATGATTTGAAGGCAGTAAGGAGGATTTAAAACTCAAGGAAGAACTTTTTGCCTGGAAGATTGTCTGGGATTATAGAATGGTCGATTGAGTAGCTGTGGAACCAGGCTGAGTTTATTTACGGGCCCTTGGGGCCTGAATGATGGGCTAAAAGGATAAAACTCTTGGTTCAGAATAAAAAAAAAAGAAGATGTTTACATTGATTTGGGGGGGGGGGTTGTTCAGATTTAACTTGCTTTTTGACATATGTCCCTAGGGTCATGGCTGAAATCAATTTTATTAGAAACCAAACACAGAAATAAAAACTTTTTATTTAGGGACAGAATGACACGGCAAATTGATTTTAGGGCAGATGTGGAAATGAGTGAGACCTCAGAGCAGTACTTCCAACAACCGTGTTTAATGAGAAGACATTGGTTAGTTTATTTCTGAAATCTTACAAGTTCTAAGATCACCGCCTGCTACTGGAAGATCTTGGCCTCATTTTCCATCTATCTCATTTTTTTTCTTTTTCTTCTTTTCTTCATTTCTTTTTTTTTTTTTCCCCAGGATGATGGCCTCCCAGAAAATGAACATCAGCTGTCAGTAGCTGGAAAGATAAAGAAGCATTTCAACACAGGCCCCAAGCCGAATAGCACCGCAGCTGGAGTTTCTGTCATAGCAGTAAGCATCTGAAATATCCACCTATAACTTTGTAAAAGCAATCCACCTAAGAGACAGGCATTACTCAGGAGAGTCCACCCAGAGACAGCAGAGTGGGTCATTTCTTTAGACAGCTCGACCATTGAATGCACTGGGGGAGGCTCGGGGCTTATATACATTATGTGTTTTTGCCGAACGTTTCCCTAGGAGTCACATCATTATCCAACACCTCCAGGGTGTCTCGCGGTACATATTAATTTCATGATTTATTTTTTAAAGGAGAAAACCTCCCCCACCGTGGACTCTGTGCCAATGCAAACTTTGGGACTCTGAGAAAAAGAGTTCACAGTGTCCTTTTGCCAGGACCTGGAGGGAGAGGGAAGCCGGGAGAGACAACACTGCAGAGAGAGATCGGAACACTATAGATCTTTGTACGAGACCCAAATGAAAGCCAAAGCATAGCAGAAGGCTTGCGCAGCACGATTTTCAGTGAAACTGAACTGCTGTGAACACCCAAAGAAATAACGGAGTCTTGCTCCTTAGAAATTTCTGTTTTTAAAGTTGAAAGTCTTTTACCATTTACCATTTTATTGATGTGGCTGCACAAGGATTTTTTTTTTTT